GAATGATGGATAGAAAGAAGGTAAAATAGAATGAACAAGAAAGAAGATTGTCCCACTATTGTTAGTGTAAAGTTTTTGATGGTTGGTTGGGTAAAGCATGGTCGGCTTCAAGAAACATTTCTGAAGGCCCTAAACGCATATCGCTCTGGGCCTGCCGGCCTTATCTCTCACCTCCACAGGGTTAGCGAAGCTTTTGAGAGCTTTCAATGTAAAATGGGTGCCAAGAGGAGGTGAAGGGGGGATGGGGTACAATTCAGGTTGGACATTTTATGAAAGGAAAGATGAACGGGGGGGGGGTAGAGTCACGTGACGAAGGGGGTATACAGTATCAGACGCCCTTAATATTTTTTTTCATCCCCCGGATGGAGGAGAGACTCGAGAGAAGTTAAAGGGATTTTTTTTGGATAGGATTTTCGATGGAAATAAAAGATGGGGGGGTGGCAAAAAAGAGAATAAAGAATAAGATGGAACAAGTGTGAAGCTGTAAATCAATCGTAGGGCTAACGAGCCTGACCCAGTTCCAAGGCGGCTTTGAAGACGGCTTTAAGTCACTCCCTTGTCTCCTCGAGTGTAGACACTCTTCTTCGAGTAACACCAGCCCTCCTACTGTGAACCACCCTTTCCGAGACTTTAGCTCCCACGCAAACTCAACTGGTCCCATGCAGCCAGTTATATAAATGGTTAATATTTTTTCTTCCATTTAATATAAATGTCCCGTCAAATGATATCTTGAAACTTCGTGTTATTAATACGAGTCCCGAGCATTTTTCATTGGAACGAAGGAAGTCGGCGATATATCGTGCGGAATTTAAAAATCCTCGATCAAGACCAACCCTGCCCATTTTCCGGAAGCCTTATCCTTTACAGGAGTTTGCATCCTCGGCGATCCATCCCTTAGAAAAAAAAAAAAAAAAAAAAAAAAAAAAAAAAAAAAAAAAAAAAAAAAAAAAAAAAAAAAAAAAAAAAAAAAAAAAAAAAATCCTGAAAACTACCCTTCCTCCTTATTCGCAAATTTTCAAGTTCGGATGAAATACCCGTGCCGAAAGACAATATCGCGTATAATAACACAACCCTTAGGGCGAGGATGTATTTTCCTCGGAAGAGCTCCGATGAGGTATACGATGGGATCGATGAGGGAGGGAAGATGCCGCGCGAGAACAAGCAGCGTCGCGACGCCTCGACGACGCCCTATACTCGTGTCAATTTTTATACCCCGTTTCCGACACGTGGACTTGTTACTTTTACGCTCTCGACCCCCTAAAGCGATTTCACGTCAGATCGGGATGAGCAGAAAGAGGGGTCACGTGGACGCCTGTTCGGCGTCCCTATTTACAGGGGTACACCTTCCGAGGAGTGAAGCTGAGCCAGTGAAGCTGAGCCAGTCGAGCAGGGTCCCGACGAAGTTATCGACGAGCGAAGGGAGGTCGTCGATGCAGACAGAGTCCAAAGGGATGGGAAAAGAAAAGAGGGAAGAAACGAAGAGCGAGGGTGAGTGGACCGTTATTAAATTTCATTGGCAATCGAGTGTCACCCGGGCCTAAAAGGCCAACCAATTATTTCTTTTGTAGTCAGCCGCATAAAAGATTAATAACTCTTTGATCATCGAGAAGGCGATGCGCGCGAGGGAAGATCGAGAGAAAAAATTTATCGACGCTGGGAAAAGTGCTCGTTCGCCATCTGAAGGCACTCAAACTTTTTGTTTCAGAGGAACAACTGCCATAAGACAGGTTCCCACCCAAGTGTAGTTTAATAATACCCGAGTATACGTGCTGAGAGGGTGGGAAAGAGGGGTGTACCAGGAGGGCCGTAAAAAAAATTTCAAACCAATTTCTTCCATTCCAAATCTCACCAACCATTATGCGTTTCAATTTGAACTCAGCCCGCAATCCCTCCGCAACCCCCTACAGCTATTGCCGGCAAGTTCCCATACCTCCCATTTCTGGCCACTCTATTTCCTCATTCGTTCCTCATTTCCCCGGGAAAATGTGATAAAGCGCGATTCTATAATCAACCCTCCGGCGCGAAAGAAACGACGAGTGAAAAAAAAAAAGCGTCTACGACGCGTGGCGTCCAAGTCGAAGTACAGGCAGGGCGTTTAGGCGGAAAATATTCACAGCTTTTGGTCCGGGCCAGATTACAAACCCATAAATAATACACATAAAGGCTGGTAAATTAAGTACCGTAGGATTATGCCGCGTGTAATATGAGCCCGATTACACCGTCGGAGAAAAGTATTATTAATGGGTCTTTTTCCAAGTAGAGTTTTACTGAACAATATCTGCCAAGACTTTAAGTATACAATACCTTATGACAAGGTAAAAAAAATTATCTTCCGAAATTCCCATTCCTATCGCAATAACTGTATCATGGGGAAACCATTGTAATCAAACTTATGAGAATATCATTGATGTTCATACATAGTTGGCTCTAGTTTTAATGCTAACTATATAAATATTGTGACGTAGCTTTTTCTAACTTGACACCGATAGCGAAAAATCTGAGAACGAACTGTTTTCAGAACCAACCTACGTTACCTTCAGCCGTCCACCCTTCGTTCATGCATCCGCAAGCCAGGCGGGCGCCAGCCGATTCTTTTTTCACCGGGAACTGCCGAGCCGGTATAAACTGAGAGTTGGGGTGGAACAGGCCCAACTCCACCAAAACGAGAGCTCTGAGGGAACCTATCAGAAGAGATGATAACTTAACGGATCCTGTCGACTTTTGGGAACGCGTCAAATCGAGAAACACAACCGTAGGTGCTGATCTTTGGGGTCGCGTAAAATCAGTAAACGTAACTGGATGCACGAACGGGAGGTGCGAGATACGGAGAGAAACAAATCGAGAACGTAACAGAACGAATCTGAAGTATCAAATCGAAATCCCTTCACCAATTAATAAATTGGGAGTACTCACCGGAGCTGGTGCAGCTGATCCGTGAAGGCCGAGAACCGTATCCAAAGGACATTCAGGTGGGTACTGCACTAGGGGGCACGACACTACACCTCCGGAACGCACCCAGAAAATCTATAGAATTTCTTGGATATCGCGAGAGCAACGCGAGAACTACACGAGCGAGAACTTTCTATACCGTATCGAAGCTAGAAAAACTATCAACAGATAGCACGGGAGCGCGAGGCAGCTCGTGACACCTCGGTCGATGTCCCGAGACAGACTGCTTTGACAATAGCCAAATTCGAGAACTAGTCATTCTGATTGGTCGAGATTCTTATAGCCGATAACTCTTCCATCTCCCTTGATTCGTCCGTTTAAACTAAATCGAAAGTATTCCTTAGCGAATCGGTTCTAACTTTGCGAGATCCTCCACGGCCGCTTTCCCAGGTCATCGGGCGACAGCTAGGCACCACATCCTTAACTCGGGTCAGGGGGTTCCTCCCCTGCCCTTAACCGTATCAAAACTATAACTCCGCCCGCTCTACAGCTCTTTGCCCATCTCCAGCGGGGCGCCGGGATCTCACCCGGGCTTCTGCCGGTCCGTGGAGACGTCTCCGTCGGGTCCTCTCCTCTGCCGGGCAACTCGGTACGTCGATACTATCTCCCCACGGCGGATTCGAGCACCTCGACTTAAACTAAACAATAACGAAATCTTTCGAGAGAATTGGCATAACTATACGAATCAACCCGAGAGCTTAGCCTCTGAACAGGGTGGCGACCCGAAGGGAACCAGAAATCGAGAACGTTATCTATTTTGGCAGCCGAAGTCGCCTTGTAGAATCAAAAAATTACGTCACAATAAATAAATATATATATATAACAGACTGAATTTAAGGAAAAAAAAATCTTAATTTCAAAAGAAATTAACGCATATGGCGCAGCGCTACAGTATTTAAGAGAGGAAGAAGGTGATAACAGAATCCACTAAAGTCACTGTAAAAGGACGCATTCTACGGATTCTCTAAGAAATCCTGTACTCTTTGTCAAGATAATATACTTTCATCTCGACTGGCTCCCCCTCTGTCACTCTGTTTCTTCGAATCTTGTTCAGCTCTAGAAAATTCAGTCAGTATGCTTTCTGAAAGGTGATACAGTGTGGATATCAAAGGCGAATGATAAATCTTAGCTCTTTCAAGAATTAAGACAATCTTCGCTGAAATTCCCGGTACAGCCGAGAATTTACGCCATCCAGGTAAATTCAACCAATTTTCTGTAGGTAAAGTCTTTGAAATGCCATCCTAGTTCTCCAGTTCTACAGATTCTCTCTCTTTATATGTATATACATTCCATGGGCCGCGAGGCACGAATACAGAATATTGTCCAATGCATGGGAAACTATAACGATCCCGTTAGGAAGTTCTGTGAAGCAATAGGAAATTCCATAGTGACCACTGTTCGCGGTTAGAACAGTGAAAAGGTGGTGAACAGGTCATACAAAGGATATATATACATATACAAATAGAGAGGAGGGAGAAATGATAGGATCAGAGTCTACGGAAAAACGTGAGTTTCACGTGTTGACAGAATATTAGGGAGAAAAAAGCCTTACAGAATGTCTTCTTCGTATGCCAGAATTGCAACGACCGGTTGACCCAGATTTCCCAACAATGGCTTGCACTTGACGCAACCTCCTCTAAAGGATGAAGCCTACGCCTATTTTCACTGAAATTCCGAGTCTTTTATTTTGCCAGCCTAGCCTCCTGCGAGCAGAAGCTTTTATCCGAGTGTGAGGCTTCCTCCGAAGCGTTCAGAGAGTCCAGTTTGAGAGTGAAGAGCTACATATAGTAAGCTCTCTCGCGATGCACCTTATCCTATTTTTTTTCATTTTTTTTTCCATATCTGTGATGCATTTTTGAAATAAAGGCCATTAATGCAGTTGCTCTCGAGCATTTAGTAATAGCTACGATTCAGCCGTTACAGCGGTAAGGAAGAAATACTTTAATATCCTCGTTAAAGCTTCCGCCGGAAAAGGGAGACGCCTGTTTGCCCTTTTCTTTCGTGAAATACGGCCTCGTTATTTTGCTGAATTAAAAGCATGCAACACATACCAACACTGCGGATAGTAGAATGAGCCACTAAAGGAGCCACTGACGTTGCTGGAAGAGGCTGCTGCTGTGCTACAAGAGGAAAGTACCAGTGCTGCCAATCCTAGCGAAGCACGACGATCGCGCGTACCAGGAAGGCCCGTTGGCAGCTGTTGGAAAAAAAATCCCTATTAAAACCTATTTACCATTCAACAAAATAACAAAATCTATTAGGCATTCGAAATGAAAATTTTGAAAAATTTTTACATGACAATCCTTGATCGTACAATTGACCTTGATAGGAGCCACTGTGCTGTGTGATAATTAATTTTTCAAACGTTTATCAAGAGACATTGAGGCGTCGCGACGCTGTGACATTAAAGAGCCTCGTGTCGTATTGCGTTAGGGGAAAGTCAAGAATGAGAATGTATTTAAGGGCAGTTTTGGAATTTTCTCACGAACTCCTCTCTCCTCTGCGTCACTGGACGCCTCTCATTTATCGGGGTTCGCGCCTGCCTCGCTTGATGCTGAATATCTCGTGGAAGCTCGTTTAACTTCGTGGAAGCTCGGCAGTACTCGGCACTTTCGCTCTCCATTGACCACTTTACATTGCTGATAAGGCCATAGATATCACGAAGGTTCCTCGTGGCTCATGTTTTATTTCGACATCAGCCTCACCTCCCAGGACCTAACCGCGCTCGATCTTCTCAGTCTTCCTTATTCCTCCCTCCTTCTTCAACCCCTAGTGTACTCTTCATCCTTCTTGAACCCCAGGACTCTGACGGCACCAAAGATCAACCACAGCTAATAATTTAGCAATATTTCTCAGAACCGACCCCAAATTTCCCGGTTATTTTCTTCGTTTCTCTGCTTCAAACGGAGTTATGAATTTTGGCAAAAAAGTACATTTACGATATAAATCCAATATTCGATTTCTGAATATTCAGAATTCAGAATATTCAGAATATTCTATACATTCGTGTGATTTAACAAGGCGGAAACAGTACTTACGTGGGTAGCATATAGTATTATACATATATATATATATATATTTATTAGCTACAGTCAAGCAGCCAAACTGGCAACGAGAGTGCATTGAGTTTAATTATTCGAAGTAGTAATGCAACATGGCGCTGATTCATTGTCACAACCTTCACGATTTATGTTTTCGCAATGGATTAACCGGTGGCTCTAGCGCGGCTGACGTAGGCAGCTTTTCGTTATATATCTAGCTAATGTATTTTGTATTCGATTTCGGAAGCTCACGAACACGTAGGCAAAGCTAGGGATTTTTCACGTTTACTTATAGTATACCACACCCTGTTTACATGTGCGTGACAAAAACTTCCTTGAGACGTCTGATCTGCATAATGAATTTTTATAACGAAAAATTTATTCCACCACGTAATTAAGTTCTCTACTAATTCTAAAGGATCTTCTGATTTCGTAATTCGAAGCGATACCGAGAACTTTCTTAATTTCATGTTTAACCAGCAGACCGATGAGTTCGGCGAGCGATGCTGAGGAGGTGCGAAGAGGTGAGATCGCAACTTGGAGATATCGATAGAGGAAAGCGGAGGCCAAATTGTAAAGCTCGTTGGCTTCAGCAGGAATGTTGATAATTAACGGCTTGTAATTGGCACAGCGCGTTCTTCTCTCTCTCTGTTTCTCTCTATCCACCATTCTTTCTCCCTCGAATGTTCTTCAGTATTCTCCAGACTTTCACACACCCTTGACGCTCAAACACCTCCAGCAATTTCAACCTCCATTCAAACTTTAAATCAGTTTCTTGTGTCTGGATTTTCGTGCCAGACTACCATAATTTAGCTCGCATAATTTTTCCCCGAGACAGTTCTCCATTATTGATTATGGATGTCATAGGGTAGGTATAGCTACGCGGATCCTTCGAGAAGACCTTTGGCAATTGAGAAAGCTCAAAGGAAGTATGGGCCTTAGAGAGGGATTATCCTAATGATCAGTTCAAGGATCTCTAGTCTCTAGTCTCTAGTTCTCTAGGTGAATCAGTGTCGAATCGAACGGAAGTGACGTCAAGTACATACGCAAGGAGTGCACAGGTAGATATATGTATATGTCTACAGTAAGGTTCGTGTAATTAGGCAGGATCGTCGTATGTGAATTGAGTGAAGTGAGGAAAAGTACAGTGAGGTGAGAGGAGCTGAGGTATATAGTAAGCGCAATATAGGAGAACGAGAAGGACAAGGAGTAGTGAGAAGAAGAGAGAGAGGGAGAGAAAGAATAAGCAGGGTGGGAAACGACAGCTTTTCACGTTTCAGGAAAATAGGCTGGCTCGAGAGTTTCCGGGACAATGAGGGAGGGTAGTAGAAGCAACCACTCGGCCCACAGAAAGTTGCCTGAGCTTAACAGGCCGCAAGCTCGAACTTGACATACTCGGCAGAATGCAAATTAAACTCGTCACACATTTGACAAATCGTAACAAAAAATTTCAAATTTGAATTGATTTTAATCGTTTGAATTTTCATCCTTGATAATCTGTCTCTCTCTCTTTCACACTTATATCCTACGGTACATATTCTCTCTCTCTCTCTCTCTCTCTCTCTCTCTCTCTGGATATTCGCAAGAGAGCTTCAAGGAGGAAAACTTCTTTTTCCCCAAGGACTTTCAACGAAGCTACCCACTTTGAATGCGCTAAACGCTCACGAGTGGCATGATGGGAACGGGCTTTAAAGCATTTTTATTCAAATTCGCGCAAGCACAGCCTTATTCGAAAGGGGCGACGTTTTATAGTCAAAGCGCACTAGCTTACTCCCTCTCTCATTCAGTCGCTCTCTCGCTTTGACCTTCTGAATGGTGCATCGAAAAGTAGTTCTCTCGGTAGGTAAAAGCCAAGTGCTCACTTCCACGAAATAACATGACCACACTCGAACGGGCAGGATGAAATAACACAAATGCCTTACAACGGTCTACAAACGGCGACGACCCTTCGAATCGGTCCTATTGTAAAATTCAGAGGGTCCCGCTTCAACAAAACCCTTGTATAATATAAGCAAAGTCCTGAAAGGTACTTAGCATATCCATACATTAAAGTAATGACTACCCACCGTGGACCTTTAGCCAATTCATCAAAAATTTTCATAGTGTCACGTTCAAAGAAGGATCGATCATCACCCACTTCCGGCATTTACACCACTTCAATTTACATTTCCGGGCCTGTTTCCTATTACGCTAGATTTAGCTCTGGTTCGGGTTAACCACCGAAGATAACCGCAAAACGTTATCTATGGACATTCAGGAGATGATAAATTCACACACACATAGATATATATATCTTATCCAATGTAACATCTATCAACAAAATATGGGGTTCGACACTCTCAGTAACAGCCACTGATAAGTACTGTTGAATGAGGTGGTATATGGATACCGTGGAATTGCGAAGAGGCTAGTACTGTGTGCAAAGTGCATACACAGTTTCACTTACCTTATCTCTTGCTTGGTTGCAGCCTGTCGCACAAAAACACTACCCGATAACTCCAGCGAGCCAACTCCAGCTATAATAATAATAATCTCCACTAGCCAGATAGCTGTAGATCGTTGATAAGACCAGTTGGCCATTCAGTTACTCAGCCAGGAATCAAACGAGCGATTAAAGCTCAGAAAGCCACAAGCATAAAGAACGGACTTTTCCATAGAACTTTTTATTTCCAAGAGAAGAAAAGAGAAGGGATACAAGTTTCCATGAGTTCGCGATGGAACCAATTGTACTAGACTTACAATAGGAGAACTCGACAGTTCTTAAGTTTCTAGCTGATAGCTGATCAGGTCATCAACAAAGTATACCTTTTACGGACAGCTGGAGTGTAGTATAACAGGGAAATCCAGTTACGCTAAAGTTATACGTAATGCAGTATAGCATGTATACGGTCTGTACCGTAGTAACTTATGTGCATATACAGTCCTATTATAGATGTAGATTGTAGTATAGCAAGGGATGGAAGCTTCAATAGCGTGGTTCCAGAGTATCAAGGGGTGCGTCACGATACACCCCTAATGGAGCTTAACTATTTTAATGAACAGCGCCATCCTCCTGAGTTTTTCTTGTTTCTCTCATTATCGAAAGTTTCTATTACGAATACGATTACGGTTCGCGAGCTTTTCACTATTTGGCGCGTTCGCGTCGCGATGTGCTTTTCGGTTAAACGAGTTAACAGGGTGCTATGAGCACTGTAGGAAAAAAAATTCTTTTTTTTTCTTTCTTTTTTTTTCCTGAAATTCCGTGAACGCGAAACTGCAAGTGTTTTTCTGGGGATTTTATGGAAGGTGGATAGTAGAAGAAAATTATTTTTCTGCTTTCGTCGGGATTTGCATTTCTGACTTCTAATTCCGGAGTATACACCTCATATCCATCACTACATATGTATTCCCTGGGAAATTTAATTATAGCGAATTGCTGAGAGCTTAGTAGCGATCTTAGAGTGCGGACTTTCGCAATTGCCCGTCGGCGTCGGTTCTACTGGCAAGGCATCGCATTAATTTTGAGGATCGCTACGGTAATTTGGCGCCGTGACGTCCTCCGACGCTACGAGGTGAGGCAAGGCAGGTCGGGTCGGGTCGTCCTTATAAATGGAAATTAGATTAGAAACAGGATCGTTGAGTTATTTATCGCTAGGTGGACGTTAGCCTTAATTGTACAAACGAGCTAACTCACCTGCCTTTCCTGTACAGTTATTTATTTGCTTAGCACAGTCCGTCTTGCGGTTGTGGGTCACTGTGTACGCTTTATTTGCTAAGGGAGAGCGGGTAATTCGATCTCTAATAAAATATTTATTGAATCGAGAAATAAGGGGGAAAGGGGGAATCGATGAAATGTATGTTGTTTATTGAAACTGGCAATAATTCATTGCTCGCCGTGTTCGGAGCTACGGGGCTTCAATACATTTCAGTGAGATTTTCCAGGTGCTAAACAATCTCTGAAAATTAATTTTAGATGAATTTCAATATTGAATCTATGGTTATCACGAGGAAAATACTCGGTCATCCGCTTGACCGTAACGACGTCCCGTTTATCATTTGCGCGCGCGACCTTTTGAAACATTTAATTGAAATTGATTAGGGTTTTAGCCTTACGTTAAGTATACCTTATGAAACAAGTGTGTATAGGATATCGTGTTGATTATATTGAAATAAGCCT